CTGGATCTGTAATTTTCACTCCATGCATCTGAAGAAGTGGGTTTTTTACCCACGAAAGCTTCTGCCCAAATAAATGTTAGTCTTGAAGGTGCCACTGGCGGCCTCGTTGTTTTTGTGGATACAGACTAACAGGGCAACCCCCCCCCGATACTTGTTTCACAATCTAGTCCAAATTGTATTTAGCATAGACACACTGGTTACTTTCCCCAGACCTGAATGAAAGCTCTGTGAAGCTCAAAAGCTTATCCCTCCCACAACAGAAGTTGGTCCAATGAAAGATTATTACCTCACCTACCTTGTGTCTCTCATATCCTGGGACCAACTAATATTTACCACTTGTTTTCCTTGAAGAAACAGCAGCTCTGGCAGTTGTGGAGACTAGATATTGCAGCAGGCTAACCCCATAGACAAAACAGTATTTCCTACCTTATAGCGCTTCATGCAGTCTTTTTTTGACCGGCCTGGGACAGCAGCTGCTATTTTTTCCCATCTTTCAGGAGTATTTACTGGATACGTCTTCAACGCCTGTTCTAAAAGTTTTTGCTCTTCTGTAGTCCAAGGGGCTGAATCTGTGACTAGTCCTGTTTTATAAAAAGCCATTGATAAATGAGAATAGTGATGAAATATTAGATGTTTAGCCAGAAGTCCTCTAATTATATAAAACTTTGCCCCTGCCATGGGATGAGCTAGCGAGAATGCTGCTAAGAAATTGATATTCCTATGAAACTTGTGCCTTCTAAACCATTTAAGAAGCCTATAACTGCTTCCTTTTGCATTTCAGTAAGGAAATGATCATCCACTTCTAGGAAAGCCTCTTGGGGAAGGAAGTGTCCTGGACAGATCTTGGGGTTCTATGCAAAGCCAAGCTCATCTGGGGAGAGGGCCCATACCTTCTCTGCCCCTACAGTGGATCTCCTGTACCCCCCAGTTCCTGACAGTGTGGCTCTAGTGGCCGGGGTTGCTTCTGGGGAAATGAGAAGGATCTTTAGGAGAGACGAGAGCCCCCCACAAAACTGCATTAAATCTAACAGCTGCCACAAATGAATAAGTGTCCTGGGCCAACACATTATTTGGCCATATTCTGCACTCACTGAAGTATGGTTCTTATTTCACCTGCAGACATCCAACGAGGAATCTGGGCCACTATCTTTTATCAAGCATAACTACAGCCATAGAATTGTTTGTGAAGGGCTGAAAATAGTTCTCCGTCAGCCTTACCTTCAAATCGCTCTGAAGGTGCAGCACTCTCTGTCTGAGGTACCACTCCGTGCTCTTTCTTAAACTTATCAAAAGCTTTCTTGTTTATGTCGTCCTTTTGATGAGGGTCTGAGGACAATACAGATTCATTTAGTTGACAAGACCAGAGACCACAATGGGAAGTTTAAAAAGCCATACATAATGCCTAACATATCATATAGCAGATTAGCCTAAAGCTAGCATTTAAATATTCTGAAGATGAATGTAACGTTTCATTTCAAAGGTTAGCAATAAGGGTTGTTAGATGAAAACTAGGTGAGATTTATATTGATCCAAAAGTGACATATCCAACAGCTTCAATCTTATTCTAATGTTTACACTGTACCATAAAAGCTGTTTTCCAGGGCACGGTTCTGATCCTGCAGCCCTAATCACATGCTTAGTCCCACTGTAGCCAGGTGGGATTGTTCCCAGGAGTGATAACAGATTTAGAGCCTCATCCTGTAGTCAAGCGTTAGTGTGGATAACTAGCTCTATCAGCAGGTACTCAGGATATTGTCGGTCGTTTTAAGTCTCTTTCTTGTCCCAGCAAGTAGCTTGGTACAAAGTGATTGAGAAACTCCTTTAAATAATGCACTCTCTCGCTAGTGGAATACTGAGCAGGAAGAAAGGAATGTCTTGGTGTTCTTCGAGTTTTTATTTTCCGTAATGATTAATACAGATAGCATCGTGATGGTTCAGTCTTAAACTGAACTGCATCTCAACAACACAGCATGGTGGTTTAGCCGTTGCACAACGCCTGTTTGTATTTTATGGTAAAATCTCTTCATCACAGCAGCACTGATCTAAAAATTCATCTTGACAAAGATGATTTCCACTCAGAATGAGCTAAGGCAAGTGGTTGTGCTAATAATAGCATCTGCTTTCACTTAATGAAGATAGAAACGGTTTCCATGAATGGACAATGAATGGTTTGTTTTGCATTTAAAGAAAAATAACTTATTACAGAAATAATATAGAAGCACGCAGACCATCTTACAAAGATAATAAAGATACCAAGTTTCTGGAGGCTCTTTGCTTTATTGATGACATCTTTTGCTGTTCGTTTTATTCCAGTAGTAGAATGCAAGTTCATATAATTGGCAATAACTTCCCACCTACACCAAGAATGGAAAACAAACAATGCAAAATAGCACACGGTAGAATAGCAGTGAGAGATATGTTTAATTTCTTAGCTAATTATAGTGAGGTCTATGCTTGCAATAGCATATCTATAATCCTTAGCACTCTCAGTTCTTTGGAAACTAAATATGCTACTTTACGTCCACAGTAAATGGAGTGCAGAACTTTTCTATTAAATTGCATTGAGGTTGGGTTGGCCTCTTACTAAGGTCTCTGCCCTGCACTGAGATAAAATGAAGGGATTCTCTAAAGCATACATGGAGGGACATTGTAGAGGCCCTACAGCAAAATACTGTTTCAGATGCTCTGAAATCTCACGAGGAATGCCACAAGTTGGAAAATGTTTTGTTATTTAAAAAAAATAATTGTCTTTTACATTTAAAACATGAAAAAGTACCTTGAGTTAGTCCCAGCGGGGAAGAGGTTCACAGCTTTAATCAATAACTGTAAGTCATCTTCTGACCAATTTTTACTTCCACCTCCGCCACCGCTTGTTGATCTCTCTGAACTCTTCGTTGCCTGGCGCAAACGAGCCTCTGCTTCTTCTCTTTCTTGCTTGATCTGTTCATTTATTTCTTCTATCTAGGTGAATAAAAATATGCATCAATTAATATTAACATTTTATTCCACAAATCCAAAATTAAAGTCCCTTCTACATTTTCAGCTACTGGAATTGCTTCAAGCCTTCAACTTTCCCTGGTTTTCTTATTCTTATACATCACACTTGTGGAAAGAGAGTCTACCTATTCCACCATTATTTCCCCAACACATGACATAGATACAGCTATGTGTAGACATACTCATGGGCACGCCAAAAAAACTGACGTATAATGAGTGCAAACTCATGAAATTAAACTAGACACTTTTCCAATATTTGAGCAACAATATTGTAGGGGAAGTCTAGACTGACTGCTGACTCTTGGTCATTGGCACAGAGGCTAGATTTTGTTTGCATAATGAAGATAAGCAAAGATTGGGCCATTTTTCCCAGAGTAGTTCACTACTGCTGAGGAATATGAACTTCCTTATCTAAAATTTTATGGGATATTACACCAGTTACTGACTGTGATGATTAGGTACTAATCTAAAATGCATAAACTCTTACTCTGCTGGCACCAGCGCCTTAGACTAACCCTGAACTATGCTATTTATTGTGGAAGTAGCGGCAAAGTCTCGTTTCTTTGTGTTATGAAACAGGTCTTGGTGGCCATTCTTACCATGTAACGAACCCAGTCTAAGATGCATATCTTAAGTTAATATCCAACTTGTTTAGATGCTGTCAGACAGTCAGGAAAGCTTAGTTAATCTAAATATTTTCATTACATTGATTTGACACCATGTATAATTACCTGTTTTTCTACAGCAGCCTTTCCTCCTTCCCTTGTCGTGGATGTAAGTGCTTCATTCAAGCATTGCAGACTAAAAATAAATTGTTAAGTTATATTGGAGATCTAGTAGAAAGATGGATATCAAAATATAGAGTAAAGAGGGTCAGGAAAACGTACCTTGCTAGTTCAAGACGATCACAAAGCTTTTCCACCTCTTCCATCATTTTAACACCCTCTGCCTCATTATCAGAAAAGTAATTCCAGTTCTGAAAGCAGAAATACATGTTTTCCATTGACGGTATAGGGCAATGAAATTCAAAGAGCGTCTCAAAACACACCCATTCCTCCAGTATTACTATAACTGGGGCTGAATAGCCTTAAAATAAATTGGATGTTTTTCATGCAACTGAAATTGGACTATGGGTGTGTACTTTTATATTTTGCTTTTTAGTTGATAGTCTTCATAAAGCTACATTGGTTTGTCTTTACAGACCAAAGCATCTCTTCATGTTGTGATTCTGTATTAAAAAAAAAAAAAATCTATAATGACATTTACTTGTAAACAACAATACAAGTGTTTCTGACACGTGGAGAAAAAAAAACACTTTTACCTATGGACACAATTTCCACCTTCCACCTCCATTTATAAGGATAAACATACATGAGTGATTTGACATGAAAGCAAAAGTTCTGGTCTAACCGGGTGCGACAATTTCATTAATACAGTCTATATTCAGCTATAATGACATCTATACCTTGCATAAAGAACAGGAGTACTTGTGGCACCTTAGAGACTAACAAATTTATTAGAGCATAAGCTTTCGTGGGCTACAACCCACTTCTTCGGATGCATACCTTGCATGTTGTTCTCAATTTTTGCCTTTCCTTCTTAATTGCTTTTTTCTGTATATCTTTTTCTTTTTTTGCCAGCAATGCTTGTTGTCGAACTTCTTCCTCTTCCTTCTCCTTAGCCAACCGTGCTGCTTCTAATTCTGCTTGTCTTTGCTGCAATCAAAGGGAAAAAAATTTAGTAGGCCTTCTCGTGTAAGATGCACAAGATGCACTACTTTAACAAGGTGAATAAAACTATCAATACTTAAACACTTGGAAGATTGACCTTTTAAGAAATAAACAAAAGGTGAATGCGCAAGCACATATGCACACACTGCCTGGCATTAATTAACAAATACCTCACTAGCACTGAAGATACCCAGTTTCTAAGGGCTGATCTACGCTACACAGTTAAGTCGACATAAGGCAGCTTATGTTGACCTAATTATGTCAGCGTCTACACCACAGCCTTCCACCCACATAAGACTTATGTTGGTGTAGTTAGGGCGATGCATTGTCTGTGTAGACACAGTGTCCCTTACATCCACTGTTGGCAGTCTTGTCAATTTCATGACTGGCGCTGTGAAATTGACAGGAAAGCTGGGCAGCTAGAACCCAGCTGCCCCACGGCTCCTCTGGAGAGCCGGGCAGCTTGAGAAGCCCTAGTGGCTCTCCCCTCACTGGGAGCCAGGGCTTCTGGGTGAGCAGTGAAAATGACAAGGCTGCCTGGCTCCCGGGGGGGGGGGGGGGGGGGGGGGGGGGGGGAAGAAGATGGGAAGGCTGGGCGGCGGGGGGGGGGGGGGGGTGAAGGAGGGGAGAGCCAAGGCAGCTGGACCCTGCTCCCTGGGGGCAAGAAGCCTCAGGTGCCTTCCCCAACTCCTGGCGGGGAATGGGGAGCAGAGGAGGGGGAAGCCCATTGGAAGCCTGTGGGGCAACCGGGCTCCCAGCAGGGAGCTGCCAGCGGAGCTGAGAAACCGGACTCTTAGCTCCCCACACTGCCCTTCTTAGGTTGGTGGAGGCGCTCCTGGTGAGGATCTGCCCCACCGACCCAAGGAGGGTAGTGTGGACATGAACCACTGCAGATTTACATTTTAGAAGAAATTTTATTCCTGCTTCAGGACCAGTCCTTAGAAAAATCTAATGGTTCTGTAAGCATTTGTGCTGCTCCTCTGAAGTGCTATTGCTGGCGGACTGCAAAATATGATTTTTAAAATCATACCATTTGGATTAGCATCTTTTACGTCCCAACCTCTTCAATCACGCTAAGATTTTAGCAGCAGCTATCTCACAGATTGCTTGCATTAGCAAGTGCAAGCTGCTGCTCATCTTCCAAGGCTTTACAGATAATAACCAATCAGTCCATAGAGCACTCCCATAAAGTAAGCAATTATTTCAATTTACAGATGGGGCAACTAAGCCACAAATGTTAACGGAACTTGCTTGAGGCAATAAAGAAAGTCTGCACCGAACAGGGATTTGATTTTAGAAGTTCCTGGCTGCCAGGGCTGTGTCCTGCCCACATCTCACTCTCAATCTTAAAAGGGTCACTGGTACCTCAATATAGCAGTGCCTTTTTGGCACTGGAACAAGACTGAAAATAGCAAGTCTCAGGCCTCGGTGTAATTTTCAGTGTGTGGCCTCTATCAGACCTGGAAGCTGATCAGGTACATTTAAGTCTCTGAGTTTCTCAACCCATATAAACAATTTACAAACTTACTCTTTCTTTTGCTTCCTGTTCTTTTCGTTTTGCTTCTACCTTTGCTTTCTTTTCTGCTTCTTTCTTTGCCTTTTCTTCTTCCTTGAATTTCTTTATTCTAGGATCACAGCTGTATGCATTGTCTAGCAGAGGAAACAAAGCATTGTGTCCATGAAAGGGGCCACTAAACCTTTTCACTGCTAGTTACCAAATGCCTCTTCTTAAAAAGGCAGCATTTATACTTACCAACTAATGTCCTTATCCTGTTCATCTCTTCTTTTTTCCTCAGTGCTCTGGCTGCTCTGTTCTGTTTTTCTATCCACCTCCTCTCATCTCGACTACAAATTGGAAGGCATGGTGTTAGTTCAGCTCTGCCAATCACCAGCATTGTTAATAAATGTATGGAGATATACCTATCTCATAGAACTGGAAGGGACCTTGAAAAGTCATCGAGTCCAGTCCCCTGCCTTCACTAGCAGGACCAAGTACTGTCCCTGACAGGTTTTTTTTTTGGGGGGGGGGAGGGGGGGCAAGGGGTCCTGTCAGGAATTCCATTACAAGAACCAATTTGCAGATGCTTCAAATTTCAACTGTAGCAAAAGCAGAGTTACGAGCATCAGCTGTTGGCCCACAAAGGTCAAGTGCAAACCCTGAATCCTTGCACAACAGCTCAACCACACTACAGAGTCTAACATAAAAGACAGTTCAGTAATCATAGGCTCATAGAAGTGAAGGACTGGAAAGGACCTCAATAGGTCACCCAGTCCAGGCCCCTGCATTCAAGGCAGAACTAACTAGTCCATTCCTGACAAGAGTTTGTCTAACCTGTTCTTAAAAACCTCCAATGATGGAGATTCTACAGCCTCCCTAGGCAATTTATTCCAGTGCTTAACCACCCTGACAGTTAGGAAGTTTTTCCTAATGTCAAACCTAAACCTCCCTTGCTGCAATTTAAGTCCATTGCTTCTTGTCCTATCACCAGAGGTTAAGGAGAACCATTTTTCACTTCCTTGTAACAGCCTTTTATGTACTTGAAAATTATTATGTTCCCCCTCAGTCTTCTCTTCTCCAGACTAAACAAAAACAGTTTTTTCACTCTTTCCTCACAGGTCATGTTTTCTAGACCTTTAGTCATTTTTTTGGCTCTCTTCTGGACTTTCTCCAATTTGTCCATATCTTTCCTGAAATGTGGCACCTAGAACTGGATACATCTTATCAGATGGAGTACTTCTCATGTATTGCTTACAACACTCCTGCTAATATGTCCCAGAATGATGCTTGTTTGTTTTTTTAAACAATGTTACACTGTTGACTCATATTTAACTTGTAAATCCATTATACCTTCAGATCCCTTTCCACATTACTCCTTCCTAGGCAGTCATTTCCTGTTTTGTATATGTGCAATTGATCATTCCTTCCTAAACTTTGCATTTGTCCTTTATTGAATTTCATCCTATTTACTTCAGACCATTTCTGCAGTTTGTCCAGATCATTTTTAATTTTAATCCTATTCTCTACAGCACTTGCAACCCCTCCCAGCTTGGTATCGTCTGCAAACTATATACATGTACTCTCTATGCCATTATCTAAACCTTTTATGAAGCTATTGAACAGAACCAGGACCAGGACCGATCCCTGTGGGACCCCACTCAATATGCTCTTTCAACTTGACTGTGAACCACTGATAACTACTCTATGGGAACAGTTTTCCAACCAGTTGTATACCTACATTATAGTTAGAGCTCCGTATCTGTCACAGAGGTCACAGAAGTAACAGATTCCGTGTCTTTCTGCAACCTCCATGACATCTGCAGCGGCCCGTGTGGCTGACCCCAGGGCCAGCTGCTCAGGCGGCCCCAGGGACAGTTGCACCAGCGCTGCTAGAGCATCTCCGCAGCCGGCCGCTCGGGCTGCCCCGCAGCCAGCCACTGCTGGAGCTGCCCTGGGGCCAGTTGCACCGGCCGCTGCTCAGGCAGCCCCAGGGACTGCCCGAGCAGCGGCCAGTGCGGCTGGCCCTGGGGACCGCCTAAGCAGTGGTCCCAGGGGCAGCGGAAGCAGCCACAGCTCGG